ACTTTCTTGTTTTGTCCAGGCAGGACAAATAGTTCCCCCCTTGGGGCTTCTCCCCTCCACCAGTTTTGGTCCTACAGCTTCCTGTCTTTCCTATTCAGGCATGCCTGGGATACAGCACAGCCATGCACAGGAAGGGTGTTGACTGGAGCACAGATGGGATGCAGACAGGGCTGGCTCTGGAGGGTTAAGAATCAGAAGGACTAATTTACATGAGGTTCCCACCTTTTGGTTACCCCTTTGGCTTGGCTTGTGCCTTGGACTGGTGCCATCTGACACAGTTTGCAGCTCTGGGATGTTGAGGGCTGGCTGAATTGGCTGCCTGGGCCCAGAGCCAGTTTGTATGGCTGGTTTGGCTTTGCACCATTTTCCTAGCAGGGTGAGCTGTAATATGTGTCTCCTGTCATGAATCAGACCATAGGTATGGATAATTCTCAAACCAGACATTTACATGTGTTAATTCCACACCGTGCTGGTTTGAAGTTGTTTTATTAAGGAATTATTCATCTTATTGCTCAGCAGATTTTCAGCCTCATTTGTAGGTTTAGCATGGGGACCGTGTCCCGGTTGTATCACCAAACAATCTCTTAAAGATTTAATTGCCAAATAAAAACTCTTTCTATCTCTCTCTTCTGAAACATACAACGTTACTAAAGCACCACTTTGGTAAAATACTGTAGCATGTTTGGCATATTTTTAAGTTCTTTTGAAGTCAATGTTTAAGTGCTGTGCTGAATCAGGGCCTAAACCAATAATAGCCACAAATTTAAGCCACTTTATTTCTGACTGAGTGTTTGCACAGGAGTTGAATGTGTGTCAGTTTCTTGTCAAGACCCCCCAGGTACAGATATACTCTTAGTTTCATTGACTCACTTAGCAACTTTCGCAAATTGCTGTCTTGCACCCAGTTGAGACGTCAGGGTCAGACCCAAGTATGGCAGGCTTTCATTTGCAGAATGAGATCAAACTGAAATAGGATATTGGGCCATAAAGGGATTGGCAGCAACACAAAGAGTACACAGCTATGGTTAGTCATTTCCTATATACATAGAGTGTGTGTGTGTGTGTGTATATATATATATATATATATATACACACTTTTTTTTTTCCCTGGTTAGTAAAATCAATGCAGTGCTTCAAACATGATCCTTACTGGGCTATTAAACAGGTCATGGAAATTTTTAATTCTCCTGCTAGAAGAGAGAGTTGTGGAAATACTGTGAGTAATGGATCTGATGCTGAAATGGGGGAAGAAAACAAGTTCATAGGTGACTGATCTCTTAGACCTACACCTGGGCAGTCTCACTGCAACTTGGGGGGCTCATATATAGGGTCAACTCCTTTGCTGTGGTTTTCAGGGCTGTGATATACTCTAGTACTAATTACTATGTCCTAGTAAGTACAGTCCTAGTAAAACATGGTGCAAAATTGAAGTTAATGTGCCACTGAAGTTGGTGGAAGTTTTATTCCCTTCAGTAGAATAATGCTTTTGGGACTTGAGGTGTTCTCTTGTGCCACTTGATTTATTGCTGCGCTCTTACATGGTGTGTAGGAGTGTTAACAATAAAGGCCAGTGCTGTGCACTGTTAATTCAAAGAACTCAGTAGTCTTCATGGGGCTGCTTCAAAGAGTATGGTGCTGCTGTCCTGGACGTCGTCGTCTTGTCCCACCCACAGAATGCACATATGTATGGAGTGATGGGCCTCCAAATCAAATGCAAAGAGCACAGGTTTTGTAGTGCAGGCATGTTTTGTATTACGAGCTGGTTGGAGCCTTTTCCCTTATTTCCATACCTCTGCAAGTCACGGACTGGTGACAAGGAAGTGCTGCTGCATAGCTCTGCCTCTCCCAGTGAGATCTGTAGGAACTACAGGCACTTGCTCTGCCATAGTATTGGTTTAAAAACATACTGGGACAGAGTACTCAACCTTTACTTTTTGCTGTTCAGTCTTGAATTATCTAAGTTCAGACAGGTATCTGTTGAGGTCACTGGAAAGATGGTCAGTAACTGTGGTGTAGAGATGACACAAGAGGAAGAGAAATAAGGTGGTTATCTATGAGAAAGGTGTGAAGCCCTTCTGAAGGGCAGAAAGTTATTTGAGGAGGGGAAAAATAATTTTCATAGAATCATGGTTTGGGATGGAAAGGACCTTTAATGATCATCTATTTCTGATCCTCCTGCCATGAGCAGGGACATCTTCCAGTAGAGCAGGTTGCTCAAAGCCCCATCCAACCTGGCCTTAAACACTGCCAGAGATGGGGCAGCCACAACTTTTCTGGGCAACCTGTGCCAGTGCCTCACCACCCTCACAGGGAAGAATTTTATAAGAGTATTTGTGTGTGGAACTTGATTTTATCTTAAAAAAAATGCAAAGGAAAATGTTACTGAAGTTGGTGCAGTGGTTAATCTCTGTTTACACCTATCAGAGATTTCTGCTTTTGTTGTGAGTAATTTAGTGTGTACTTCATGTCTGGTTTTGTCTTTTTAAATCCCAAAGTTGATGTTGTGTTCTCACCTACTGAAAGTGATAAAATTTCACGAGCCAGCTAGGAGCAAATCTGATTTTTTGTTTCCTCTCCTGTTGCTGATGATGGCTGCTTGATTTGGAAAGCATCCAGTGAAGAATCTCAGAGCAAGCAGCTTGTGTTGAGAGTGGCTCGTATTTCACTTTACAGTCTCAAGGGCAGACGCCAGGTGTGCCTGAGTGAGGACTCTCACTGCACCCTCACCCTTTGCAGTGCATGCCTGCTCCTGCATGTGTCACACGGCTTCTGCATCCTGCACTTGTGACTGCAGAGCATAGGAAGGAGTGTGTTCAACCAGTCAGAAATGAGAAGTGTATTGGAAATAGGAAACTAAACATCAGCCATGTGTGAGTAATGGATTGTCTGTAACCTGGAGGGCATGAGGATATGTATTCCAATGTTTTTTGATGGTAGTAAGGCCATGACACTGTAATTAACATAATACCAGCTGCTCATCATGTCCTCTCTTTATGATTCCAAACTCTGTCCTGATCCTAAGTTTTGTTCTGAGGTGTTGATGTGCTTATGGAAAAGCCCAGTGAGAAAAAAGTGGGAATGGTTCTTGTTTCACTGGGTCAGTCTGAGTAGCGTGTTTCACCTTTGGCAAGGAATGCATTAGGAGTGTATTCATGAGACTTAGAATAGAAATGTGCTTGTCTGGGGTCTTCTGTGATAGTAAGCTGCTCAGGACTAAAGCTTGGACCATAGCTTTACTACTGTGCTTTGTACCTACATATTTGTGCATGTGTAATATATTTTAATGACTTCATTTGTTTTGTTTGGAACTTTAAACTGTAACTGAGTATATATGTAATGAAATGAGTATTTTCTGTTGTTTATAAATGCTAGCTTGCATGCTCCCCTGAGATCCTTGCCATATATGCGGATGTGGTCACCTAATGAAGTGCTACAGAGCTTTGTGATAAACTGGAGTGAGATGTGATGCAGACATTTAGTACATGCTACCAGTAATGGGGTATATGGAAAATCTGAGGCTGATCAGGTATTTCACCTGTCTGTTGATCAATTCCTAGGTTGGGTTTTTTTATTACTTCCATTATCTTTGAGCACTCCGTTTGAGGTGATATAGCATAAAACATTCCTCTCTTGGGAGGAGTTCCCCATCTCCCTTTTCCTCAGTACACTGCTGAAACTGTGCTCACTTGTAGCATGTGATGCATTTAACTAAGTCGTACACCATAGGAAACTTTTCAAGACAAAAACCATAAATATATATATTTGGCTTCTTTGGTTCTGCTGGATTTCACTGGTGCATTCTTAAGGGAACTTGGCATGAACTTGCAAGCTTAGCATGTGCTGCTTTCATGTCTAGAAAAACTTTCATGTGATGGCATTTCAGCATCTTCTGGATTCTTGGCAGCTGGAGTAGCTGTCTTTTTAGATTCATCTACCTGTGAATAGTCTGCATGCACTTTTTGGTAGCTGTAAAGCACGCCTCATGTATATGTAGAGTTTTCAGTCAGTAATATGCTCCAGTGTAGTTTATACCTTATAATAGCTATATGGAGACAGAGATGTTCCTGTAAGACATCTCTGCCATCTCACTGTCTAGTTTCTATTTTTTTAATCTCACTTTTTCTATCACGTTACAATCACAACCAGAAGAGTGATATGTTGGAGCTCTTTTGTATTTCCTCATGTATAAACCTAGCTGTGTTGATTATGTAATGTACATACACCTTTTCCTGTGTTCAGCTCCTTAAATAACCTATAAAGGGCTGCATATGCTAATTTTATGTTAGGTTTTTAATGCAGGGGTGAAATATCATAGCAGCGTAATGAAGCGGTTGATAGAGGAAAAAGAGTTATTTCATACTTGATATGGCATAGTCAGCTTTGCAATTTTATGCCCACTAGAGGGACTGCTCCTTACACTACTCCTTGCCGAAACCAGAGTCATGCCGTCCCTTTAGTATCTTTTATGAAGTTTTAAAACTTTGAATGACTGACTCTGGTTAAATCCTCTAAGGTGTAAGTCTCCCAGCTGTTTCTTAGAGTGTAAAATCTTTGGGCACAGTGCTGTCCTTCTGAGTCCAGATGCTTTTTACTGAATTTCCTTTCTAGATGTTCTTTCTTTTTTTGAAAGTATTTTCTGTTCTCTGGATTTATCAGTCCAGGCTTCCCTATGTGATGTTGCTGGGGATTAATTTAGATTTTTTTGTCAGGGAAAAAATGTTGTCTGTCCTTATTTATGTTTGGAGTAAGTTTTGTTTTGCAACCATGGTGCAAGTGAATATGGTAAATTAATCAGTTCTTGTATTCACAGATGTCATTGAAATGGGTTTCCCCTTTAACTAGGAGATAGTAGGTTTTGGGTTAGAGGCACATAAACGCATAGTCAGTATGAGAAAACTTCCAAATGTATCCATGTTTTCTTGTTAAATCGGGGGGTGATGGCGGTTGTGTCTGTTTGAGTTATGTGTTCCTGACCTGTGCATTTTTCTTCTTAATTACAGAAACATGAAAGAGTACAGGAAGTCCTGCATGACCACAATGAATACCTGTGCTAATTAAGTCACTGGCTGGTACTGGGAGAGCAGCGAGGTAAGCAGTCAGGCCGTGCCAGCAGCATTTCTTGTAATCTGCATGGCTGTATTTCAACAAAGCCTTAGTACTTTCGGGTATCAATTTCACAACAAGTCGGGTGAAGACAAATAGCCCGCAGGTTTGAATGCAATAGATTTGCTTTTAGTTCAAAGCTTGGGCGAGTGAAAGTCCCTGTTGTCCTTCGGGGGGGGGGGGGGGGGGGGAAAGTACAAGTTCTGTGTTGGTTTTCTTTTTTAAAAAAGGGAGTATCTCTAATTTCAACAGTCGATTCCTGAGCAAAGCTCAGCTTCCTGGGCTGACTCTGGGGAGGGCTTGGGGGAGGGGAGGAATGCTTCACAAACTTAGCTGATGAAAAGGCATGCTGTTTTGTGGATGCCTCCCAGAATTGTTTAAATCTGTGTGTGTATGCGCGCGCGCGTATGAAAAGAGAGAGGGAGAGAGAGCGAGAGAGAGAGATCGATCTCCATGACAACTGGCCTGGCCAGTCTGTGTTCCCTGCAATCATATTAGTTGGAGTCAATGCTGTGAAAGGTCATATGAAGGAGCTGTGGGAAGCACAGCAGGTATTAGACGTTAAACGACTGGTTTTCTGATTGCCTCACATAGTAAGGCAGTTTTGTCTGGGAAGTACAAATCTGAGAATGGAGTGGAAGGGGAAATGCTCCAAATTTCAGGTAACAAAAATTGCCTTTTAATGTTGTTTCCTTCCATTTTAAAGTTTATTGTTTTTTTTTTCTCTTCTTCTTTCCGTGGTGTTTACTCCCAGCCGAGTGCCTGAGCGAGCTGAGCTTGGATTCCCTAGCTCTTGGGAATGATGTCATGCGGCAACAGTTGGATTCTATTAACTAGGGAAAGAGGAAACATCCTGCATTTTTGAAGGAAAAAAAAAACCAAAACCACCCTTGGCTCATTGTTGAATCTTGTGCAAAGCCTGCAAGAAATGTTACTTGGTTTTGTTGGTTTTGGTATACTTAAAGTTTCTAACATTAATTCCCATAAAATGACATTTAGGAATTAGCACCAAACTTTAAAAGCACTGCAACAATTGCTCCTATCTAGAAGAAAATAATTATGGAAGTTTTGCGGAGTTCAGAAGACTCTTCTTTCTTCTTGGTTATTCCAATGTGCATCTTTAACAAGGAAATTAACTGCACAATAATTAAGTGGAGGATTTGGAACCTCCATGCACTTAGGGATCCTTTAGCAATTGTTTCGAGAATGTGCTGCTAGAGTTTCTTCTGGGTTGGGCTCTGTCTCAAACAGCTGCTTATGAATAGATGATGCTGGCAGCATTGTTCTTAATAAGGTTTTCAGTCCTGGACTGTGTTTTTCGTAGCTTTAAGCCAGCCTTTTTGGGAGAGGGAATGGGAAGAAAGCAGAAAAGTAGTAATTTCAGCAGTTTGGAATGGTCTTTTCCCCCCTCCCTCTTTCCTCAGAGACGTTTGCTAACTGCTGTATTCAATGCTCACCATTAGGATAGCATGCATAGTATTATAAGCTGAAAAATTACAAGGTATTAATGTACAACTGCTATGTCATAATGAAAAGATGTAGAAAATACATACAATCCTGCCTCCTTGAACAACACAAAAATCCACTGTACCCATAACCATGATGAAAAGATTAGTTACCCCCTATGCTGTTTAAACTCCTCTCTAGCAGATGCTCATTTCTGCTTTTAGGCTGCTTTGTTCACTTCTGTGTGTTTCAGACATGATCCAAAGCTTGCTGGAGTCCATGGGAGTTCTCCCATCAACTTCAAAGTGCTTCAGATCAGCCTCTGCCTGGGAACTTCTGTTTCAGTCTGTTGACTGCAGGACCAGGCCACAGGCTCTCCGCTTTCTTTCTTGAACTTTCCAAACAGAAGGTCTTTTGTGTTCCTCCAAACAATGCCAGGCGCTGCTGACTGGCTTCAGCGTGGCTGCTGACACATGCTGGGGATAGTGGTGATGCTTATTTTTGCTTTCTCCTAAAATCATCCTAGAAGGGGGAGAGAGTGCAGCGAATGGAAGTCAGATCCTTCTGTTCCACCTCCATTCCTCGCAAATGGCCGTTGTTTATGAGTGTGTGTCTGTGTGTGCAAATTGTTCCTTGATTAAAGGGCAGTATTGGCTGCGCCTCAGGGAGGAGTTCCAGGAAGAGTCCGGGCGGAAAACACTGTTATCGCTGTGATCTGCCAGTAGAGCACTCATGAGGGAGAAGCAGGCTGTCCTGGAGCAGGCAGTCTTTGTACAACACGCGTACAGAACTGACAGCTGTCATCTGAGAACTGAGGGCTGGTCAGCACAGTCTAACTTTGTGTCCCCCTCTTGCCTACAGGATTTGACCAACTTGATTCTATGAATAAGATGCTGTTCTTCACTATCAATTAGTTAAGTGATAGGGAAAATAATATTTAATCCATTTAACAGTTTGGAGCAGTTTAATAAGAGATCCTTGTGCCATTTTTTACTAGAAATGAAAATCTGTGAAGCTGGCATTTTAATTCAAACTATCCCCCTCTGTAAGGAGGAACACTGTGATGATTACCCAAGTTTAAGGCTCATTTGTGGGAACATGTTATTTGTCCTTGAAATTTCTGAGACAAAGATAATGATTTTCAAAATCAGAACTTTTTAGTGCTTGCATTTTACAGATGGTCAGCTTGAGAAGCCTGAGAAGCCTCTGCAAGGTGTTGCAAATTGGGCATCCCAATGGCAACAGTTGCCTTTAGCCATTTATCTGTTGAGAGTTGCGATGCAGTGGGAAGCTTTGGTGACTTGTGTCTCATTGTTCCTGGCTGAGTGGTGTTTTCTTTAATGGTCTGCGTTGCAGTATTTACCCACTACTTTGAAAAGTGCTACAAGGCATCATTTGCATAGTTCTTTAGTATAATTTCCATATGTCCTGGCATTATGAATTAATGAATTTGGAATTAATTTCAAATGAAGGTTTCACATGTTATATACTATGTATGCCTCACCATTAGGAAATAAATAGATAAAAGCAATAAATCATAATATATTTATAACTGCATTCATAACAAGATATCTTATAGCTGACTTACAATGGTTGGGCATAAACTTAAGCAGCAGTACACAGGCATTGGCACATTGTTTCTTAATCCATTAAGGGAGTAAGCAATTCCAGAAAGCTGCTGCTAAACCTGGTAATGCATGTGGAGCTCTCTCAGCAGTGCGTGCAGTTGTAGCGGCTCTGTGCTCCACACAGCTCCTGTGGACAGGTCTTACACTCAGCGTTTTCAGCCTGCTGTAGCTGTCACTTTATAAGTGCATTCATTTCTGTATCTCACAGAGTTGCTTTATGTTGTTGTCCTGACATAAATCTCCTTGTTGGTCCCCTGCATATTTCTGCCAGCAGCTGTATGCCTGCATTGTGTCTGGGGATAGTCAGTGGCTCTGAGTTTTTTAAAGAGATTAATGTGTTTTTTTGATAGGATTAGTTTGGCCTTGTCTCATTGTACTTAGAATGAAAGTGAAAAGGCATGGTAGGAATCCCCTTTTGTTCTCTCTCCTTGGCTTGAAGTTCTTTATTGTGAGTGTGGTGAGCCACTGGCACAGGTTGCTGAAAAAAATTGTGGCTGCTCCATCCCTGTCAGTGTTCAAAGACAGGTTGAATGGAGCCTTGGGTGACATGGTTTAGTGTGAGGTGTCCCTGCCCATGGCAGGGGGGGTCGGAACTAGATGATCTCAAGGTCCTTTCCAACCCCAACTATTCTATGATTCTATGACTCTATCTAATGAGTAATTTTTGTATTCTGAGTTACAGTGTTTTAACTGCTTGTTCTATCTTGCATAAGATCGTATTTTGTGTAACTGCTTGTACTCTCTCTATCCATATGTTGACAGTGTATGTTTCCCTGTTGCCTGTTGTAGTGAGTTCCAGGTCAATTGCTTTGTTGACATGTTTGTCTTTATTACTTGGAAATACACTGCTTTGTTTGCAAGTGAGCTGGGGCTACCTACAAGCTTAGGACTGACTACATCAGAATTCAACACTTATTTCTGCTCTTATTCCCTTCTTTCAATAACTCCAGTCTCTTCAGTTCTTCTCAGGGAAAGTCTGAGAGAGACTGGAAAAACACTGTAGTTGGTTGGCTCTGTTTCTGCTGTTTTCTTTGAAGCTTGGGTTTTCTTCAGGACACTTGGTATTACAGCTGTGGACTCATGTACCATTAAATTCTTGCACGTGAGATCAGTATTCTCCATTTGTAATCTGATGCTCACCATAGATGGAATTCACTGACTGAAAACAAAAGTATTGCATATTTAGAAGAGGTGTTCACGAGGATGCTCAAATATTTCCTTGTTTTCTGGAAGCTGATTTCAATTCCAACTGTATGAACAATTAGTTGTCATAGTTGTTTCCTCTAGTGTTGTTTTCTGGTCATGGTGACTCTGACTTTTCAAAGTGTAAAATGTGACATGCAAAAAATTTGTTCTCAGAAGCTCACACTGAATATTTGCAGCTACCTTTAATTACAGCAAGACCCTTGAAACGATTGCACTGTCATTCTGGTCTGCAGTGCAGGCTATCATTGGTGCTAATCAGTGATCTGTGCTCTGCCATTGCATCTTTGACCCAGTTACTTTGCTGGACTTAACACAGTTGCTTGTGTGACACAAAACAGACTCTTGGCACAGCCCTGATCACAGAGCAGGGAGAGATCTGGCAACTTTCACACAAATCCATTATAATTAAGGCTTCCGGTCTGGGATTTAAACTTCTTCTTTTTCTTAAAAGCCTGAGAGGCTTTTAAGAGTACTTTTCAGGCTGGAAATGAATGTATTGCTGGTAAAGGCAAAGTCCCCTGATGGTACTAGCTGTAGACAGGCCTGGAAGAGGCAGGTGCAGCTCTTATTCCTTCACTGGGCTTTGTAAAGATGCTTCCACCCTGAGCACTTTATGAACAGGGCCTCCATGTTGTTCCACAGTTTCACATGACAACAAGAGTCCCCTAAGCAGTTAGAGGAGTGTTCCATAGTTGGC